TATATATATATATATATATATATATATATGTATATAAGTCATTTTCGACTTAACAAGCAATTTTGCTTTTTGCTGCAATTATATTACAAGCAATTAATTCGATTTGAATTGGTTATTAACTTCCCGTAGGGCCAAATATCGAAAATGAAATTGTTTACATTTCTTGGCGTTTTGAAGGTTTCTGAACATTTTGACATACCTCAGAAAAAATGGATGTGTATGTTTTGTATGTATTTTTAGTATTAAAAATGGGACTCTACTGACGAGCAAACTAATCTAGAATTGAAAAAGGGACTCTACTGACGAGCAAACTAATATAGAATTAAAAAAGGGACTCTACTGACGGGCAAACTAATCTAGAATTAAAAAAGGGACTCTACTGACGAGCAAACTTAATATAGTATTAAAAAAGGGACTCCACTGACGAGCAAACTAATCTAGAATGAAAAAAGGGACTCTACTGACGAGCAAACTAATATAGAATTAAAAAAGGGGGCTCTGCTGACGAGCAAACTAATCTAGAATTTAAAAAGGGACTCTACTGACGAGCAAACTAGTCTAAATTAAAAAAGGGACTCTACTGACGAGCAAACTAATCTAGAATTAGAAAAAGACCCTGCTGACGAGCAAAAGCTAAAATACATAAAAGGGGACTTTACTGACGAGTATTTCAGTTTGCTCTTCAGTTCATATAATGCAAAATATAGTTTGCTTGTCAGTAGAGTCCTTTTTATTTTCATGTATGGTAAAATACAGTTGATGATGAAAAATACTAAATACAAAAACTCAAAAAATTACTCAGACTAAGCACAGTCTAAGCGCCACTCTGGTACAAATGTTTAACCAAGTGCGTTTAGACTGTTTATGTACTGGAAGGCTTTTCCAATTTTGTGAAAACTATTGAAAAATGTGAAAATGCCGCCAAGCTAAGCACAGTATAAGTGAAAATGTCGCAGAGAATTATTTGCAAATGCGTTTAGACTGTGACTATACGGGAGCACTTTTTCAATTTTGTACTATTATTTTTTTTTTTTTGAATTCGAAATGAAATGACGATTGTTAATGTTCTGGAGATAAAATGATTTATATAAATTAATATATTTGAAAACGTTTAAAATAAAAGGCACGATGCCATACACCACTAGTTATTATTCAATTTGTATCGTAACGATTGCTTACAAATAAATATTCGTTTTAATATGTATTTGTTTGTTTATTTTAATTATTGTTTGTGTCTGGGATAATTTGTTTGCAAATCTCTCGTGCGCATTTAAAACGACTATTGTCTTATTAGCACAGCCGTTGCAAAAAATAATTTATTTTTATATTTTTAGCAGTTGGAAAAAATATTTTGTATGTGTGAAAACAATAATACATAGTAATAATAATATACATAGTAATAGTAAAGCGGATTTATTCTATGTTTACTCTCCTTGGATTAAAATCTATTTACAAAATTCATAGACTTTTTGTTCAAATTATCTGTGTTTGCACAAAATTATCAATTTTTTGCCAACTTATTGCCTCTTGAACGAAATTTCAAATCTTTCGATAAAGTTTTTAACGTTTTTACCAAATTATTGACTTTTTCACCAAATTATCAACTCAATGATTTAGTGAAAAATGAGAAAAAAATGTACGAGTTACTTTGCAATATGAAAAAACAAATGCAAGCGTTTAAATAAATAAAAAAATCTTGTTCTCATAAAATTTTGTAACAATTATAATTCATAGTCTATTATTGTATTACATTTTGTAACTAAATCAACAAATAATCGTCTGTGTCCAATCTAAAAATCAAAAACGAAACATAAAAGACTTCTTTCACCTGACAACACATGGCTACGTGCATTTTGTAATATACATATGTATATATAATTATTATATATATATATATATATATATATATATATATATATATATATACATATAATTATTTTCGTAATAATGCCTAACAAGTAGACATATTGTTACTGTGTCTCTTATTATTATCGTGTCGGTCACGTTCGCCCAAATATTTTTTACGAAATAGTGAAATGTATTTTTTTCGTAAGTGCGATTATTATATTGTAATTGCATTATCGAGTGGATTTTCGAAAGATTTGGACGACTTGGGAAATATTTTATTGGAACTAGTGGTGTATAGAAATAAAATTTGTTGTTGTTATTTGTTATGTTATAAAAGATAAGACTGTAAATTTATTTCATATAGAAATAACTCGTTTTTCGTGTACGTACCAGCACCATCGGCCCTTCCTTGTCTCTGTAGGTCCAAACTGTTTGTCTGTTCGTTGTCAAAGTCATCGTTATCGTTATGGTTCTGTTCGTCTGAATAGTCTGTATTAAAAATTAACAATTGAATGAAAATAATAGATAAATAAATATAGTAAAGACAGAAACAATAAGGGTTAGGCTCGAACACTAACTGGCAAAATTTATTAAACAACCCTAACAGAAATAAAATAATTATTGCTATTTATGATATTCAGAAATTCTATTGTATACATTGTGTATTGTAATTAAAACAATTTGTGCAAACTTTAAGTTATGACTATTAATTAAATAAAGTTTAATGGGGCAATTCTGCCATAACACATGCTTGCTCTTGGTAGCAAATATGTAAAAATGTTTGCATATTTGCCGTGCGATCAGGCGCATTTTACATATAAACAAACAAGGAAGAATGTTATGATACCAGCACCACATAGAATTTTGTTTCCATAACCTTATTCATTGCCATGGCAATCCTATCTTATTGTCTATGTTACGACAGAATTGCTCTACAAGCTAGAAATATTATTTTAGATATTTAGTAATAATTAACTTCAGTATAAATTTAAAAGAAAATCGTTATATGATAAATTATTTGAATTGTTTTGAATCTTGAAGACAAATTTGAGTTGTTTTAAATTTTTGTGTTAACTTTTCATATGCGACTTACACCTACCCCCAGTAGAAATAAATCGTGGACAGAAGGGTAAAAAATTAAAAAATAATGTACTATCCGAACTAACTAAATAATTGAATTAATAAAATGGGAATCTGTAATAGGAAGATGAAAATTTAAGGATTCATGTATTTTTTGTTCCGCTATTATAAAATGTAAATTAAAGAAAATTGATCCAAATTTTGACAAAAAAGTGCTAGGGTTGAGTACCTTTAGTAAATTGTTTTTTAAGTGAAATTTAAGTTTCTCCATTGCGCAATATTCAAATCTTGTTTTAAATGGACCGGACAATATTTGTTTTCAAAATGATCGAAAATTCATGGGAGAACTATTTTATATGGTTTATTACAAAAAAACAACATGCTTCCAATCTGATTTACACCTATAATTTTATATTTACACGAATTATACATAATTTTTACATGTGGGCGTCTTTGGAAGCATTTTGTGGGCGACCAAGATTCGTTTCTTCAGTATTATCGGAAAAAATCAATTTTAAATAATTTATTAGCACCAAAAACATGATTAAAGCCTTTAAAAAGTCATATGCTCGATCGCAATTAATAGTTTGATGCAATTTTTTTATAAATTCAAATAAGAAATTTAAAAAAAGCAATAAAGTTTAACTATATAATATGTATGTATGATTCGACATTGTAAGTCATCATTCACTAAGTTAACAAATTCTAAAACAAGATTATAGTAGTACAAAAGTACTATAATGGCATATTCATATTATTTTCTAACACTATAACGATCTACAGCAACTCGGTATACTTTAAATTTAATTACTATTGAAAATTGTGATAAAAATAATATCAATCAACTTTTATTCATTATATTTCTTGTAACTTTTAAACTGTTTGTTAAAAACAAATGAAATATTCAACAAATTTGTATAAAATTAAATACTTTAAAATATTTTCTAACATCTAAAAGACCTACAGCAACTCAGTATACTTTAAACTTAATTTTAAAAAATTTGAAAGAACTCAGCACCTTACAAAATTCACAATCAAGAGTGCATTTATTTATTGCATTTCTTGTAACTTTTAAACTATTTGTTAAAAATAATTGAAATATTCAGCAAATTTGTATAAAATTAAATACTTTATACTACTTTCTAACACTATAACGACCGATAACAATTTTAAATACTAAACCGAGAAAAAAACACAAACAAAATGTTTGATGAATAAAATCAAAACCTCGAATAAAATAAAATTATGTAAATTATTTAATAATATAAATAATTATTTAAATTCTCTATTAACGTGACACATGTATAATTATTTCATGCACAAATGTGCAATACGAATTACGCAATTTGTGCAATTTCGTGTCTGCCTATATAATATTACTTTCGTTCAATCGTTTGGTAAAAAATCTATTGAACAACGTAATTAATTACAACTAGAGAAAAGTATAATGTATATATATATATATATATATATATATAAATATATATATATATATATATATATATATATATATAAAATGCATATTAATATAATTATGCAATTGTTCTCGATAAGTTGCACCAACTCGTGTTGCACTAAACGCACCTATAAGCCTATAATATTAAAATATAACTTGTATATATATATATATATATATATATATATATACATATATATATATATATATATTTATATATATATATATATCGATATGAAATAGTTTTCTTGCTCAATTGTTGGCAATATCATGCGAGATTTGATCTCATAAGAAAATATTGGAGTTGCAAAATTTATCAGTCGAGCCAAATGGTAGTAGAATATATACATAAATATATATTAGGGTGGTCCTTATTATGGGCATTTTCGAATTTTTTTGCTCCCAAGGGCTCAAATGCTTCCAAATTAATAAAAGAAAATTCTCTAAAAGTTTAAGCTCCTAATATTATCATTTAGATAGTCCGCAATTCAATTAAAAGTTCCGTTTATTTATTCTAAAGTAAATTCTTGTGTCATCTGTGATAGCATTCGTAAACTCAAATATTATGACACTTAAAAATATTTAAAAAAACACTTAACCTCTAATTAAATCCATGTGGACTGTTTAACAAAATATTTATTCATCATGGCATCAAAATTAATTTTGTAGATGATTTTGACACTCAAACTATCAGTAATAAGTCAAAAGTACAAGTCTGCTATCATAGATGGCGCATGAGTTTACTTAATAATAAATATACGAAACTTTTAATTGAATTGCGGACTATCTAAATGTTAATATTAGGAGCTAAAATTTGCAGAGATTTTTATTTTATTACTTTGGAAGCATTTGAGCCCTTGGGAGCAAAGAAATTCGACAAAATCCATATTGAGGACCACCCTAACTTTAATTTTGCAACAGAAATTTTTATTTAGTTTGACCCAGTTTATTTTCAATGTACATAAAATGTTAAGAAAATGAAAATTATACAATGAAACTATTTGAAATATATTGAAAATATTTTTGTTCATTTTATAATTGAACCAGTGGTTTAAAGATGAAATAAATCTGACAATATTTAAAATTTATTTGAATATATAAATCTTGATGTACTATTTTATGTTTACTATGACTTACGGATAAATATAGAACATAAATAAATAAATTGTCACTAATTTAAACTTTTATCCAAATTAGTTTAAATAACACTCTAAAAAAAATTAATGATTTAATTCTTAAATAATTTAATAATTTAATATTAGAATCTTATAGTTCTTACAAAATATTTCCCATGGATAAAAAAATTATACATATACATACATATATATATATATATATATATATATATATATATATAGAAACGGCCGCTTTCTTCAATTTTGGTCTCCCAATACATAGAGGGCGCCACAAACATTAGCACGTAAATCTACCCCTAGGATTGAATTCTAGATAAATATATAATATGGAAAAGGTTAACCCGGAAAAATTTAATAAATAAAAGCAGAACGCGTTTAAAATACATTTTCAACAACTATTAAAATTATAAAACAAGTATCTAAATTATTATATATAATAAAAAGTATTAAACACGCCTAAGGTATTAAAATAAGCTAATCAGTTCCCAGTAATAAATTTATACATACTGAACCCTCTAAAAAAAACTGAAACAGGGTAAAGTACTATGTTTATCCCCCCATCTCGCGGTAGAATTAAATACTATATTGCATTATATAATATTCATCACATTATAATCCTGTACTTATTTTTTTCAATGTACCATTAAAATCGGTTGATCCGTGCGCCCGAAAACGTGAACTAAAAAATACGGACATACAAAAAACACACAGATACATTCATTAAATCTGCTGAATTTCTGTAGTAAAAGTTAGCACAATTTTGCCCTGACAAAACTCTTTAAAAAATGTGTAATATTTATTTTGTACCTCTATCGGTTCTGGGGTCTCTGACTCCGATCCTGGGTTGTTGTTCAAGGGCCGCAAAAGCACTAGGGCCGCCGAAATCGCCACTGAAATCAAATTGGGCCGAAACGGCGCAGGCGAAGGCGACCAACATGCATAGTACGACCTGAGGGGAAAAAAATTGTAAATAATCAATGAATGAAAAAATATAAAAATTTTGGAAATCATTATCAATAATAAAAATAATAAAAATAATACAAATAATAAAAAAAATTCATTAATGTTAAAGTAATCTTATCAAGGGCTAAATTTAGGTGTTACAATTGGTGGCGCCATCTATTAATACCGACAATAACTAAAATTTAAGGAAATCTCAAAGCAAAGAGTTGCGTTCTGATCTATTTATACTTGAGTATCTATGTTATTAACCTCGTCATTTACAATTATGAGAAAGAGTAATTTATCTAGGGGTGAATTTAGGTGTTAGAAAAGTCTATATTATGTTTTAAAGTATTAATATGATCCGAAAGCATAGTTTTAAATTATCTAGGATTTTTTTAATCATTTTTGTGTTATTGTCTACTACATCTATTAATATTTACAATAATTAAAATTAGGAGGAAATGTCAAAGCAAAGAGTGGCGTTCTATTTATACTTGATTATGTATGTTATTAACCTCGTCGTTTATTTAATTAAATTAATTTCCAATTAATTAATTACGATCCCGTTGACCTCCGAAACGAATTATTTTATTCGTAGGTCAAGGTAGATGTTCGCGTGAAGGTCGGCCAAGGCAATCCTCTTATTTTTACATTCTAAGGTCGAAATTGATATCTGCAAAATTCTTTGAAAAATGCCCATGCTTATGTAATTTCACTTATAAAATTCATTATTTAATATCACTTATTAGATTCGGTAATATTATGTTTCCTCGATATTTCGAGTCATTCTGAATCGTTTGATACAATAAACAGATAGATATAAGAAGTATAAATAGATTACGAACACGGCAGCTTTGCCTTTACTTCATTTTTAATTGTTTTCCCGCAACAATAGATGTCGCCACCGACTGTAGCACGTAAATTTACCCCTAGGTTTAAATCTAGATAGGATTTATATTAATATATAATACAGAAAAGCTAAAACATGAATAAAACTGATTAATTTGACTAAATGAAATGAGAAAATATATTTTCAACTAAGATACACACGTTTTCACAAAATTATTATTCTAATTAAATTAGAAAAATAGGCTCCACACATTTTTATTATGATGATCGTTTAAAATATTTCTTTATAATTAAGAATTTTGTGTGAATATTTTAAGAAATTTGCTTGAATAACGCAAAGATGCAAACCACAAAGAAAATATCTATATTTTTTCAAGTAAAATAATTAAAGTAATGAAAATTTCAAGTTGTTACCGGACAATTTAGTGCTAAATTTTAAATCAGTCTAAAAAGCGCTGCGATCGTATACCGAAGTTATGAACCGTAATTGTAGACTGCTAACCTTTTAATGTTATAAAATAGCTAAAGAAGTTTTTGGATTCAGAATAAATTCCAATTCAATCGAGAAACAAAAATACAAGTGAACAAAAAAGACTATTATTAAAAAAATACAGAATTTGGTGCAAAATTTCAGGCGCTGCAATCGTTTAGCGACGATATAAACCAAAACTATACTACCCTATTTTGAACTTCCCGTTATAGTAATCGTACAAAAATTGAAAATAAAAATCTTTGCATTTTTTACGTTTCAGAGGTTTCTGAACACTTTGGCATACCTCAGAAAAAATAGATATGTGTGTGTTTTGTGTGTCTGCATTTTATCGTGCCAAAATGTTCAGAAACCTTTGAAACGTGAAAAAAATGCAAAGCTTTTTATTTTCAATTTTCGGCCCATTACTATAACGGGAAGTTCAAAATAGCATAGTATAATTTTATTGCTAAAAAATGAAATATCGAATTCAAAGCCGTTTTATTAAAAACTTTTATATCGGAGAGTATAAAAGTGTTACCTAAGAAATGTTGTAAATTTTATCTAGTTTCACCCTATATAACTAAAAAGGGGTAGTTTCATATGGACATTTTGAGTTAATTGACAAAAACCAAAAAAATGTCCTGAATTTTCTATTTATTACTACTAAAGAATGAAATATCAAATTCAAAGTCGTTTTATTCAAAACTTTTATATCGAGTGTATAGAAGTGTTCCGTAGGAAATGTTGTAAATTTTATCTAGTTTCACCCTATCTGACTGAACAGGGGTAGTTCTATATGAAATTTTTGAGTTATTTGACAAAAACCAAAAAAATGTTCCGAATTTTCTACGTATTGCTACTAAAGAACGAAATATCGAATTGAAAGTCGTTTTATTCAAAATTTTGCTTAACAAACTGCAAAAAGATTTATCAAAATTCGGATAACCGTGTAGGGGGAGTTTAAGTTCATGCATACGTACTAAAGAATTTTATATATAAAATTACCTAGAGAATTACACTTAAGGGTCTATGTAATTAACCTAAATTTAAGTTTCAAACAAATAGACATTTCTGGCAAGTGACTATTATCATGAACGAATTTTCTATTTATTGCTACTAAATAAATAAATAAAAATGAAAATGTTTAATTTGGACAATGAATGAAGTAATTTAAACACTAAATTAAAATTTATCTTTAATTGCTACTTATATGTTTTACAAAATATATCAATTACGGTTTGTAACTTTGCTAAGCGACAGCAGCGCTGCACTAGTGCTAAAAAAAAAAAAAAAAATTGTAAAATAAATAAAATTGTAGTCTATTCAGCTAAATTGTAAAATAAATTTAATTCTATGAATAATTTTGACGAAATCGTTTACACATGTGTAGTGGCATTGACTTTCCAACCGCAAATGGCAAAACATTTCATATTACATATTTCATATTTAATATTTCACACATGTGTATGTCCCTTATTGTATGTCACAAGTCGTATGTATCATTATCTAGTGCACTTATTTATTCCGCAATATTGTTTTGTGTTAAAGATAAATAAACTAATAATAATAATAAAATGGGAGTAATGGTAATATTGCAATAATAGACTGGCTTTGGACAGCCTTTACTTGTAATATTTTTACTTAAATTTTACTTTCTAACCTTCTACTTGGACGAAGTGTTACTTAACACTAACAGTTGGTTAAATATTTCATATGAACATACTGGGGAATGGTATATTCAGTTTTAAATTTTTGCTTGTTAGTAGAGTATATTAGTATATTTTTTTTTTTGTTTTTGTCAAATAACTCAAAACTTTCATACCCCTTTTTAGTCATTTGCTCGTCAGTAGAGTCCCTTTTCGTTCAGTTGCTCGTCAGTAGAGTTGAGAGAAAAACAATGTGTAGATGAATGATTTATTAGCATTATTAGCTCGTCAGTAGAGTCCCTTTTTAGTCATTTGCTTGTTAATAGAATTTCTTTTTTTTATTTGCTCATCAGTAGAGTACTTTGTCATTCACTTGCTTATCATTAGTTTTTAGTTATATAGGGTGAAACTAGATAAAATTTACAACGTTTCCTAAAGAACACTTTTATACACTCCGATATAAAAGTCTTGAATTAAACGACTTTGAATTCGATGTTAGCAATATTTTGGGGATTTACGGGCCATTTTTTTTGGTTTTTGTCAAATAACTCAAAAATTTCATATGAAATCACCCCTTTTCAGTTAGACAGGGTGAAAGTAGATAAAATTTACAACAATTCCTAGAAAACACTTTTATACACGATAATAATAAAATAAAATAATCCGATATAATAAAATCCGAATGAAACGACCTTGAATTCGATATTTCATTCTTTAGCAACATTTTGGGTATTTACGGGACATTTTTTTTTTTTGGTTTTTGTCAAATAACTCAAAAATTTCATATAAAACCACCCCTTTTTAGTTATATACGATGAAACTAGATAAAATTTACAACATTTCCTAGGGAACACTTTTATACACTCCGATATAAAAGTTTTGAATAAAACTACTTTAAATTCGATATTTCATTTAAGTTTTATCCTAGACAACGACTCGGTTGATTGTTTGATATTTCCTTTAGAGTGTCTAAAATTGTTTGCTAAAATATAATATTTCAACAGTAAATATAACGTTGTTTATCAGTCTTTAATACAGATTATGAGTAAAATATACACCAGCTCTCCTACCAAGTAAAATTAACAAAAAACACTTTCTAGTATTTGATAAAATAAAATAAAATTCCGTCGATTTTATTAATCGAACTTGTTTTATTTAATCGACATTTTTACGAGCGATTCTAATGAAACGCGAAACGATTAATTGATTTATGACATCTTTTGGCATTTATGGGATAAACAAGATATATATATATATATATATATATATACGTGTATATTTAAATTAAAATTAATTTAAAACCATACGGTGACAACTTTTAATTTTATAGTTTATTTAGGAGAATTTTGCGGAGAAACTTTTTAGCCTATAAAAAAATTCATAAACAATACTTTACGTATTTGTAAAAATAATTCAAAAACCTGTTACATATATATATATATATATATATATATATATATAATATTATACATTATTTATTAAATATTTCATATTTCATTTAATTATTAAACGTTCCGTTCTTGAAACTCTTCCCATGGCCTATAATTTAATTTTCATAATTTTTATTCCGCCAATTATTTAAAAATGTTGAGGCCACGAATAATCGATAATTGATGAATAATAATCGATCGAAGTTTTGGGCGATATCGAATATGAAATTTCATAATTTCAGACGCAACACGACGGTTCAATAATTTTGTATAATTATCGAAGATTTCGTAATTTGTAGGTCGAATCGGTTTCTAGGCGGAAAATATCGATAATGGATAAAATATCGATATATTGAATGTATTTAAAACTGATGGTTATTAGGGTGGTCCTTAATATGGACGTTTTAAGATTTTTTTTGCTCCCAAAGGCTTCCAAAATAATAAAAAAAAAATTTCTGAAAGTTTTAGCTGTTAATATTAACATTTAGATAGTCCGCAATTCAATTAAAAGTTTCATATATTTATTATTACCGTAAATTCTTTCGCCATCTGTGATAGTATTTGTGAACATTTATTAAAAATATTTATAAAACACTTAACCTCTAAT